AAAAAAAAAGTTCACTACGATTATGCACATTCAAAATATTCTTGTCTAAATGGTAGCATGTGATTTTTGGTCTGTATCATTTATTTTTCAGAATAATCACGGTTTGTCTCTTGTAGGTGAGGATGGCACACTGGCTGACACTCTCTATAAGCATGTACGCATTTTGTGTTGGGTCATGACCGGCCCTAATAACCTTGAGAAGAAAGCTCGGCATGTGAAAGCCACATGGAGTCGCCACTGCAACATTGTGGTCTTCATAAGCTCTGTGGACGACCCTGATTTTCCCACGGTCGGCTTAAACACCAAGGAAGGTCGGGATCAGCTGTACTGGAAAACCATTCGTGCTTTCCACTATGTCATGGACAAGCACGGGGACGAGGCAGACTGGTTTCTCAAAGCGGATGACGACACTTACGTGATCGTCGACAACCTGCGCTGGATTCTGGCCAGCCACTCTCCAGAGGACCCGGTGTATTTTGGCAGACGGTTTAAGCCATACGTAAAACAGGGCTACATGAGTGGTGGCGCAGGTTATGTGCTAAGCAAAGAGGCCCTGAGGAGGTTTGTGGAAGGCTTTCGTACCAAAGTGTGCACTCACACTAGCTCAGTGGAGGACCTAGCTCTAGGTCAGTGTATGGAGAAGGTAGGCGTTGTGGCAGGAGACTCCAGAGACACCTTACAAAGAGAGACATTCCATCCTTTCGTACCAGAGTCCCATCTCACTGGCACAGTTTCTAAGACCTTCTGGTATTGGAACTACTGTTATTACCCCATTGTGCAGGTGAGTCCGAATTCAGTTAGCACCATAGGCTACGAAACCTCCATCATCAATATTTTTGTTTTTTTTGCTTCGAGTATAGTGTATCTCAGTTTATCCATGCATACGTTTTAGACACCATATTGCCTGTTTTTGCACTATTTCGCCAACAAAAATAATTCCAAACAAAGCCACAGCGCTGTTTTGCGTCTCTGAGCAACATGATGGTGTTTCGTTCCCGAATGAATCAATCGTTTAAATGATTCGGTTCAGTCGCAATGACTCACTTATTAACAGTGACTTACTGCCACCTACTGGCGGTTTTAATTTCACATTTAAAGTATCTTCATTTTTTAAATTATTTCAAATATCAGTATTCAATGTTTTATGTTTAATATATCAAAACATTATTTATGCATTTGTAACTGCAGGTTTAATGTATTCATGTTCTGCATTAAACAGTGTGTAAACACATCTAAATGCCAATTCAGATGCAGCTTATGTCTGGATCGCAAAGATTAATTTTGTTGATACTGATTTCATTTGCTTGGTAACAGCCCAAATGTCTTATTCTTATTCACTGATTATTAAATGTAAGAATTTGACTCAAAAGATAATGCACACTTATAGAAAAATGGCTTTATAAATGTAAAATGCCCATAAAAGGTAAAAATCTATTTAAACTTATCTGACCACCACACAGAATATGAAGAATATCACAAACTTTAGGAGTCAGCTGTCCACGAAAGTCCTTAAGATACCAGCACGATAAAACACTCAAGCAGTTGAATGAATGACTCAATACTCACTCATTCAGTGACTTACCGTCACTTACTGGTAGTTCAGTTGAGAAGTTTGTTGAAAAGTATGCATTTTTCCCCTCAACATTTCTTATTTGTATACTCATAAATGCATTTAAAACATTAAGCTCATAACATTATTTATTGCAGTTGTACTTAATGTTATTTGCAGTGTAAATTATTTAATC